AGCATCACATACCACAATCCAAGGTTGCACCCAAAGAAAGACCAAATAACACATAAATACAACCTTATCAATGGATCAAATTGATATATTTTCCAGGATTCATAAATACCACAATTATACAAACAGAGTTAAAAGACCTATATTGACATCAATTCTAACAATTCAAACCAATTTTAAAGTTGAACTCCAAATAAGCTCTTTTCATAGTAAGAATCTTGAATTCAAAATTATAAACCAAATAAATTTCCAATCCAATAAAATTTTAAACATAACATCCCTTGTTACCTAAGGCTTCTAACTAAATCAATTTCTTGTTTACATAAAATTTTATTTGGTCCAACCAAAAACCCTTAAAATTTCAGACATAAATTCACAAAAAAAAAATCAAAAGTCCACAAAATTTTCAATCCAACCAAAATTTCTTATTCCAAGAGGCTTAACTATACCCATAGCTAGAATTTATATTTCAAAACAAGAATCTGGTCTCAAAATTGAAATCCCCTTGTATATAGCTTAGAGAGTTTGAGCATTAGATGCAATAGAAACCTTCATCTCCCCAAGGTACTCAGTCATATCATATTTCTAACCTTAAGTTCAAATCCGAAAGGGGGGGAAAACCAACCAATTAATCTTGAAGAAAATGGAAGTAGATTGGAAAAGGAAACCTTTCATTGATGATTAAGAGTGATTAGATGTTTCAAAACAAGCCCAAAGTGATGGAAAATATAAGCCCCCTAGCAAGCAAAACACCTAATCTTCAAACCCCTCGCATCTGATGAAACTCATAATTTTATCCAACAAACTTTTAAAAATTATGATTTAGTACTTTTTAGAAAGATTATGATGTCTACTTTCCAATGCAAAAAGAGCTACGCAAAAATATTATCAGTTGCCCCTCAAAATGTAACAAGTTCCGAGACTACTAATAAAAATCCAAAAATATGATAAATAAATTATTTTTGATCCATCCACTCCTTAATTTTCTTAGATAAGCATGTTTAGAGAATTCTCAATATTTTAGAACGTGCCTTAATTGTGGGGTGTCACAAGTAATGACTTCTTGGGAGTTTGAGTGTTTGGTTGTTCGAGTGATAATGATTTTCCTTCACGTCTATCTCCTTAATTTTATCTGATGAGTGTAGCCGCTCTTTGTTTGAATTTGAATTTCGCCCGCCAGTGGTGAGAGTAACCATTCTCACCACTCTGGAGAGACTCTCACCACTCTGAAGAGGTGGGAGCTTCCCACGTAGAGGAGGTGCACCACATTTCCAAGAGATTGTGCAATCAGACTCCGCTTGATATCAGCTCTTGTAAAACGCATCGTTTCATTAATCTTCAGGCACCTCTCCCTCTTCGAGTTGAGGTATCCATAATCCAATTCTCTCTTGTTCTTGTATGTCATGTATTTATGAGTTATTTAAGCAATGTAAATTACAATTGAATTATGCTTATGTTCGAACTAGTTAATTTGGTACGGTGAGATTGTTTGGTACGTAATCAATTTTACGCGAAACTTGTTTTGTAAGGAAAGAATTACTAGTGTATGAATTTGACGGAACAATAAGGTGCAAGTGTTGTTAGGCAAACCATTCACGATTGCAAAAATTATATTATGTTGGAAATATATATGATATGGAAACTATATGGTATTATCAGAGTATACTGTTTGGGAAGCTAGTGTGTTTTGGGCAAAATTGATATATTGGATATCCACTGTAGGAATGATCATTAGCAGTGTTGGACTGTGTTTAGGAAATTGTGTGTCGATTATTTATATAATACCACGTGGTATTCCACCACTTTACGCCGACGGTGGACATATAGGGGCTTGGAATATTGACCTTCGGCTAACAAGAATAGGAGGTTTTTCAATATCGAAGTTCTCAATATTAGAAAAATATTTCATGGTTGTGATTTTTATTTCTTTAGATTATATTGTTAAGTCCTTTTACCAATAGTTATTTTCCAATACCAATGGTTAGAAATGACGACAACACCTAAAAGGAGTGAATTGTATGTTTATGAAATTTTCAGATCTTTTAAAATTTTTAATTTTCTCAAAAACAAGGTAAATAATGTCGATTTGAATCTAAGTTCAAAAGCTTATTTGCAAGGATTCTCAAATCACTTTCATAATCTAAATGAATGTATGAAAATTCAAAATCAATTCTTAGAAGGAAACTTTGATTGTATGTCTTAAGTATGTACATGTTGGAAATGTAAAGAACAAGGGATGAAGAGATTGCAAATCTTTTGAGATTTTTTTCACTATAAAATTCATAAGTTTAAATCAGACATTGTAAACCACTACAATATCTTTATCTTTAAAAATAATTCTCTTTTCTAAAGAGATTCGTGTAGTCACTCTTGAATATCTCTTAAAGGGATGCCTCATCCTTAATTTACGATAAGTTTGGAAGAAAAGATTTTGGAAAAATAACAATAACATTCCTTTAAATTATATAAATAACAATTGGTCTTTCAAAATACCATAATTTCATTGAAGTCTTTAAAAACTTTTGTGTCAATAAATTTTAAACTAAAAAGACTATTTTACCCTTATTGAAATTAATAAGCCCCAATCACAACTTTTGCTTAAGAAATAATAACTTTTATTTTGTGAATAAAAAAAATGAAACAATAAATCACAACTTGTCGACTGTAATTTCTGTTTCAAAATGACAAGCTCCAATTATAACTTTTACTTAGAAAAATAACAACTTTTATTCTATAAATTGTAAGAGTTAAACAAAAAATAACAACTTATCAACTGTAATTTTTATTATCAAAAAATAAGTTCTAAAAATAACAAGCCACAATCACAACTTTTGTTTAAAAAAGAAAAACTTTTATTTAAAAAATCACAAAAATTAAATAAGAAATTACAACTTATCAATAAGGGTAAAATGACCTTTTCAATTTAAAATTTATTAACACAGATGTTCCTAAAATTACTTTGTGGAATTACAATATTTCAAGAAATCAATTTATATAATTTGGAAGGATTTTATTATTATTTTCGTGAAGGTGTTTACAACAAAAACTCTCTCAAAGAGCTATTGTATACAATGAACCACCTAAACAGTGTTATAGAGCTTTTGGATGCAGAAAATTAATATCTGATGATATAAAACAATTTAGAACTTAATAATGCCTGTGATTATCATCACTTAGTTGGCACTTACAAATTTATAGATGTCATCATAAACATTAAAAAAAAAAAAAAGCTAAATTGCTCCATTCAATGGGTATCGGCGAGTGACTTTAACGTGTTAGAATCAATTTCGATGTGTTAATTTACGTTGAAAGTAATGTTTTTAACTATTTTAAAGTCTTGAGATTGAGTTAAAACTACAAGTTAACCCGTTAACATCGAAGATTGAAAATCCATGTTTTCTAAAACAACTTCGTTGACATATGTTAAAAACCAAGAATTAATGCATTAAAATTTTGGTTGAAGATCATTTTTTTCTCCTCAATTTTTTTCTAAATAGCACTGGGCACCTTGTACAGAAGTGTATTGCAACATTCCTTAAACAATTTCTTTCAGGAGAAAAAATCTTCCATCTATTAAAAACTCATCGTCTTCTTTGTTATATATTAAAGTGAAATAGTTGTGGGCTTACATATAGGGACAATAATGCATTAAAACTCATTTTAACCATCTAACATGAGCTAAAAGGGTTAGAAGTGCAGTGGCAGAAGCAAAAACCAAACTTGATTTTAGCAGTGCAATGACAGCAAAATAGGTAAAAATGCCTTGTTATTACTGTACATGAGTTCCACAATTATTACTTATTAGCAAATAATGAAGATGATGATGAGTCTAAGGACAATTTTACTCCTAAAAAAATTATTTAAGGGGAATATTACCCACCCTTTAATGCAAAGTGCCAACGCTCATTAATAAAATGTTTTAAGTGAAAAATGATTTTTGACCCTTGAAATATTGGCAGTAGCAGAAACAAGGTTCCATACTTGAATTTAACGCGTTGAAACAAAGATTTACACAACAAAATTTTTAACAGATGATGACAGTTTTCAAAACCCTTAGTTGACATTGAAGAGAGATGTTAAAACTTGCAAATTAAAAGCCGAGTTGTTTTGAAAAGCATACTATGCGTTGATCAAAGAGATTGACACATTAAAGCCCTGGTTGAAAGGAAAAAATTTTCAAATCAAGTTAAATACAAGATTGACGCAATAAAACAAGAATTAACAGGATAAAATTTCCATACTAGTTGACAAACTCAATTAACACATCAATATCAAGATCGACATTTTAAAACAAAAAATTCAAGCGTCCAAATAAATATTAACATTTAGAACTACGACCAACACGAACAAATCTTCGAAGAAAAATCACTTTGAAGTGTCGTCGAACCTTAAAAACGTCTAATGTGCTAACTTATCCTAAAGTTGATTTAAAAAATAGTTTTTATGAATACATGCAAAGCTGTTATGCCCATTATATGAGATGCTAAAAAATGTGAAACTTAATAAGGCTAAATCTTCATTCTCCTTGTATTCTTCAATTTATTGTTTTGCCATTAATTTGCCATTAAGCCGTGCAAAACCACCTCCTCTCCAGTCTTATCATAAAAACTTGGATATTCAAAAAGTTTCAATTATTTTATCTTGATTTTATAAATAATGGACTTCATTTGCACAATTGAAAGTGTAAACATTTTCCTTTTTCAAGTAACATATTGATTGTCAAGTACGATGAAGCTGTTTAAATAAATCAAATTTTCCAAAGAAAAAATATTCTCTAGTTCAGCTAGGCAAAGTGCCAATTGACCAGAATGACATGGAATATTGCCAATACTAAAATTCAAAAATAACGAGCAGGCCCAAATATATTCTGGCATTATGTGACTGATTGCCTAGATGATTTGACAACTGCAGTAAATGAGTAAAGTAACCATTCACTTGCACCAACAAACATATCATCACACTTGTAGATAAACATCCATACAGAAGAATGTAAATATACAGGGTTATTTCAGACTACAGATTAAGAGAACGTTTAGATAGGATCAACAAGATACATATAAACTCAAATTGTGTGGATCGGGTATGGGATTAAAATAATAATGATAATAATAATGACTACACATTGAGAAACAAATGCAAAGCTTTCTCTTGCTCCCAAAAAAAAAATAAAAAATGCAAGGCTTTCAAATGAAAATCGGATGAGCACCTGCAGAACTTATACGAATGGGCCCCACAAAGTACAAAGAGCAGCTCATTGAAAGCCAGGAAAAGAAGGCAGCTTTTCTTTTAGTGACAGGAAGACAAAAAAAGGTAAAGTAAGCAGCAACCAACAATACATATAACCGGAACATGAAATTTACAGAGCTCAGCTGTTCAGTGAAAGGGGTTATGATAGATGATGATGATGATGACAAATAGGGCATCCGGATTTGTAGTACTATCCACAAACTCAATAACAGCAGCGAAAAGACATGATCATGTTACAAGACAGACAAAAAGGAATTGAAAAGAACTTGAGGTTATGCGAAAGAGGTATCATGTGAGTGACCAATTAACCTGCATTGTTCTGGAAGTAGTGAAGAAACGACTTGGCCATCGAGTGGGAAAAGCTCACCATCAATACCACATCCATTATGAGTGTGCTTCCCAGGCTTTATCCTCACAGATTTTACCTGCATCAAAATGAATGGTCAACTTGATGAATTGAACAGATACAAACAAACCAGTGCTGCCATCCATCACATAATGCACATTTACAACTGATGCAGTGTTAAATCTCATATAAATTGTCAAAGATAGCATTTAAATTGGTGGATTTGGATTTGAATTTTAGATTTCAAATCTCAATTTATGAATTTAAGATCTTTTTGTTCAGATAGTTTGAATATGAAAACAAAATAAAATGAAGAGAGATGAGTTAATATTTAAAACGAAAACGAAAAATTAAAAATGATGACCTTACCTCTATTTTTCAATCAATGAGAAATGAAAAAGATGAGATGAAAAAAGATAAAAGAGTCATAGAAATATCAATACTAAAAACACAAAGAGATCAAGAGGTTTGAAATAAATGAATTTCAAATGACTAGAATGTAGATTGAATTTGAAATTACAAAAAAATTATATCCATAAATTCTTGTATATTAAAATGAGGGATTTGGTTTAAATCTAAATTCCTATTAATCCAAACACCCCATAAATGTTCATTCATCAACTATTAAAGCAAAAATACCTTGACATATTCAACATATGGCAGTGAAAGCTGTCGACCCATCTGTAGAAGCAAGAAGAATCTCAACAGTCTCAGCCTTCCACTTCCATGGACTAAAAGCAAGTCTAAAGATCCATCATCAGGCTCAGCATTGGGAGCAACAACCTGAGAACTCTGAACAGTTCGGCAAGCATGATTGCAAACTATAATACCAAGAAATTGTCCCTTGGAAATAACCCATTTGTCTTCATAGTGGGGCACAACCTCCTTTTTGGATTCAGTTCGAGTCTCATCTGATGGACCGGGCAACTCAATTTTATTTTCCACATCCCAATGAGGCTCGGTGTCCCACTTTGGTTCAGTATCCCAGATTGGACCAGGATCAGACAGTGTTGATGATATATCCTCTCTATCATGTGTTGCAGCATTGCCCCATGAGCACCGAGAGTTATCATGTGTGGTAGTAACAGTCAGTCCACTCCATCCTTTGTCAGTCCTTGACTTCGATCTGGTTCTTGGCCAATTAGGAGTTGTTGAAAGAGGCAGCTGGGGATGGATGACTTCTGGTTCTGCTGTTACATTGCTCCTTCCAGATGATAGGCGCTTTGACTTTGGATCTAAACCACGTACCAACTCAGAAGGCTCAGAGTTAGCATGTGTAAGACCGGTATCCAGGTCCCCAGACAAATGACTTGGAGTCATTATTGAGTCGATACTGGAGAGACTAGATGCCCTGGGTATTCCATTGTTTGATCTTCCCATTATGTCAGTGTATAGATCAGACATGTCAACTGCTTCCTTATCAACGGAAAGCTTTCCTTCTCTCTCATCTTTAATCACTGGAAGATACTCCACTTCATAACTGTACCTCGGTAAGCATAAGAATTTGAGGAACCCAGCAACAAAATATCTCAGTGGACCAAACCGCTTCTGATATTTCTCAGACAGTTCCAATACTGCAGATTGAAAAAAAAAAAAAGACATAAGCATGGACCTTAATCATTGTTACATTTGCATAGATTACTCTCTCTAACTTTAATCCCTCCTTTTGCATTGAGAAAGAGAAGTTTAATTCCTGTTTCTATGAGAAAAAAGTTATTGGGCCTTTTCAGAAAGGCTTCTGGATAAAGTAATTTTTTAGAAACCTATTAGAAAAATAAAGTCATTTTGCATTTGGGCAGAATAATAAAATGTACTTTTTAAATTTCAAAATTAAATTCAAGGTAACAAATGCAAGGGTGGCTTTATTAGTAAAATTATCAGAAAGAAAATGGACAAATTAATACAGCTTCTTAGTTAAATATGTGCAATACTGAAGTCATAGTCATTAATCAAATAATAATGAGTTTAAATGACTAAATCCATTTTCAGTAATAAAAATGTTGTATATATTAATTTAAAAACACGATGATATTTTAATTACTTGAATTTATTATTTTCAATAGTAAAATATATATAGAAATCATTTGGAATAAACAATTCTACTTCAATACTTTATACATATTATCAATTATATTTAAAAAATTGGGAAAGACTTAGATAGTTAGCCTTATATAATAAATATACTTTTGTCCAATCAAATGAAAACAGGTAGATTTTAAGTGTGAATAATATTAATAACAAGATTTTGTTATGGAATAAATAATATATAAAAGATCCATATGTCTTAATTTAATTGAAAACAACCACCTTAAATATATAAAGTTAAGTATACAAGTTTTCTCCTAGAAAATTAGAGGAGCAAAAAGAAGGAATGCATAAAGCTTCTGGGAAGCTTCACCCCCTCACTTTACCACATATCTGCAGTCAAAGATTACTTTATAAAAAGTAATTGATAATTGATAATTGATGAAGTTTAAGTATAGTATCAAAGAAGGAGCATCTGAACTCTGAACACAGAACCAGCAAGTATGGAAGAGCATTTCTCCATGCTCTTTTGATCACGTCATAATAACCAATAAAAATAACAGAAAATATACAGAAAGAAAGAAATATTAAAGAAGGAGCAGACAAGAAATGAATAAGAAAAGAATACAAGCTTCAATCACAAGACAATCTTATCAACTACAATACGTCTGGGTTAATAGGTCAGGGTCCTTAAAGAATCTTACAACGTGAAAAAAAATTACAGGAAAGGAAAAAGGATCAATTTATACAACAGCAAATCCATCTACCCATTTCTCATCAAGGTTTGGCAGCAAATAGATCTATATGACACTAATGAATGAGTGGTCTAGTACAGATGATTATTCATATTACAGAAAACTTGTTGACCCTTAAAGGACATATGACTTTCTATTAGGGGTAGAATAATGGGGACCAAGCCCTCAACTCAAACCAATCACAACCATACAAATAAACCCAACCATTTGTCTTAATTCACAGTGACATGATGGGACCTACTCTGATTCATAAAATGTCAAAAGCTAGATGGTTTGTCACAATTATAGAAAAATCACTCAATTAACCTGGGTTTTCCACATGAAATACAAACCCAACCTCTACCAAATATTCAAAAACAACCACAATATGATCAGAAATCAATTCCAAACATGAGTCAAAATTCTCACAAGCGACAACAGGAGGGGAAATCATCAGACCTGATATGAAATGATAACTAAATGACAATGAAATTGTCTATCAAACCTCCTGTATATAAACTGCCAATTACTAGAAATTGCAAGAGATCTCATGATCAAGCAATGTTCCCAAAAAAAAAAAAAAAAAATTCTAGGGGAAGGACGTCCTTACAGCCATTTTCCAATCCAACCAAATGCCATCCAGGACTCTAAACTTCCAGACTACTCTCAAGAAATCATGTCAAAACTACCCCCATAATCATCTCTTTGCACGCCTTGCTCAAAAGGTGCTCAGGTGTGTTACTTATGTAACCATGGTGCAAGATATAAATGCAATTGAGTGCATTTTTCTAGGTTATTCCCCAAGTCAGAAGGGATATCACTGTTATTCACCCATTTTTAAAAAGTTTTCCACTACCAGGGATAACTCCGCCTATATTTATAACCGGTCCCAAGCCCGGGTAAAGGAGGAGGGTTGTGTTAGGCCATCAACAGCCAATGTAAAAATTTGTTGAATCTATCATGAACATGGACAATAGACGTTATAATGTTAATGCTAGGTCGTTGCCCGTAAGTAACGCGCTGCATGGCTCGAGTACAGTGATAAGTGAGTTAGAGCCGCTGCATCGGCGCCCGGATGTAGTGTTAAATGAGCAAGGGCTACCGCGTCATTCTGGACGCACGCGGCTAAAGAAGTTAGTCCATAAGAGCAAAATTAGATTTGGTACTTGGAATGTTGGGACATTAAATTGTAAATCTGTAGAGGTTGTAGGGGTTATGATTCAAAGGAAAATCAATATCCTTTGCTTGCAAGAAACAAAATGGCGTGGAGAAGAAGCTAAGGATATTCAAGGTTTCAAACTTTGGTATACAGGAAAAGTAAGTGCACGCAATGGAGTAGGCATCATTATAGATAAGGAGTGGAAGAAGAACGTTGTAGAAGTTAGCAGAATTGGAGACAGAATTATTTCTTTAAAAATGATAATTGGACGTGAGACTGTTAATATTGTTAGCGCTTATGCGCCGCAAGTCGGGACAGAAGCCAGTCTTAAGGAATTATTTGGGAGGATCTGGAGGGGTTGATTCAACACATACCACAGAGTGAAAAGATTTTTATTGGAGGAGACTTTAATGGGCATGTCGGGAGGGAAGCTGGTCAGTATGCGAGGGTGCATGGTGGTTTTGGTTTTGGAGAGCTAAACAATGAAGGACAAACTCTTCTTGATTTCTCATTGGCGTATGATTTTAAGATTGCCAACACTTGTTTCAAGAAGAGAGATGAGCATCTCATCACTTACAAAAGTGGAGCCTCAAGGTCACAGATTGATTTTCTTTTGGTTAGGAACACAGATAGAAAACTTTGTAAAAATTGTAAGGTGATCCCCGGAGATGCTGTGACGACACAACATAGGGTCCTAGTCCTTGATGTGTGTATTATGAGTAAAATCCAAAAACGTCGACAAGTAGTAACACTAAGGATTAGGTGGTGGCAATTAAAAGGTGAGAAGCAAGATATTTTCAAGCGAAATCTTTTGGATAAAGGAATTTGGGATTCTCAGGGAAGTGCTAACATCATATGGGAGGATATGGCGAAAAAGATACGGGAAGTTGCAAAAGTAGTTTTGGGAGAATCGAAAGGTTCTGGTCCGAGAGATAAGGAGTCTTGGTGGTGGAATAATAGTGTACAAGACAAAATCAAGTATAAGAAGAACTGTTTTAAAGCCATACATTTGTGTAACAATGAGGAAAATTGGGAGAGGTACCGTATGGCTAAGAAGGAAACTAAGAGAGCTGTGGGTGAAGCTCGTTCTAAAGCTTTTGAAGAATTTTATAAGAATCTTGAGACGAAGGAAGGAGAGCAAAATATTTATAAGATTGCCAAGAGTAGGGAAAGAAAATCAAGAGATCTAGAACAGGTAAGGTGTATTAAGGATGAAGAGGGAAGAATTTTAGTTACAGATGATGAAATTAAAAATAAATGGGAGACTTATTTTTCTAAACTTTTCAATGATGGAGAGGATTCATCTAGTAACTTGGAGGATTTAGTAACTGGTAATGGAGAACAAAATTTGTCATTCTATCGAATAATACGTGATAAGGAGGTAAAGGAAGCTCTTAAGAAAATGGCAAATGGTAGAGCCAACGGACCTGATTGTATATCTATCGAAGCGTGGAAATGTTTAGGTGAAGAAGGGGTGAGATGGTTAACTAAGTTATTTAATGTGATTTTACGGTCCAAGAAAATGCCTGATGAGTGGAGAAGTACATTAATTCCTATTTATAAAAATAAAGGAGATATTCAGAATTGTACTAACTATAGAGGGATTAAACTCATGAGCCACACAATGAAATTGTGGGAGAAAGTAATTGAGCACAGGTTGAGATTGAAGACAAGTATTTCTGAGAATCAATTTGGTTTTATGCCAGGTAGATCAACTACAGAGGCGATTTATCTACTAAGGGGATTAATGGAAAAGTATCGTTGTAAAGATAAAGATCTACACATGGTTTTTATTGATTTGGAAAAAGCTTATGACCGTATACCAAAAGAAGTGCTTTGGAAAGTGTTGGAAAAAAAGGGAGTACGGATTGCTTATATTAAAGCCATACAAGATATGTATGAGGGGGTAAAAACTAGTATAAGAACGCCTAGTGGTCAAACAAAGGATTTTCCTATAAAGATTGGACTACATCAGGGATCATCTCTGAGTCCTTATTTGTTCAACTTGATTTTAAATGTTTTGACGGAACATATTCAAGAGAAATCCCGAAATGTATGCTCTTCGCGGATGATATAGTTCTTATAGCAGAGACAAGAGAAGAGGTTAATTGCAAACTTGAGTTATAGAGGAGGACATTGGAGTCGAAAGGTTTTCGTCTGAGTAGAAGTAAGACGAAATATTTATATTGTAAATTTGGTAAAAGACTATTCGAAAATAATTTGGAAGTGAAATTGGGAGATCAAATTATACCTCAAATGGAAAAGTTTAAATATTTGGGAGCCTACTTACACCCAACCAACAACCTGAATCCGTTTCATTGGCTCCTATTCAGCCTACTTACACCAGCCCATCCCTGAACCTGCCGAAATACAACCTCACAATCCCTAAAATAATCAATCCAAGGATAAACTAACCTAGAACAGAACACAAAATAATCCCAACAACAACAAGCCTTATCCCACTAGGTGAGATTGACTATATAGATTATATGATGCCATTGTACTCTATCATTTATCAAACTTTTAGAAATGTTATTGACTAAGGTTTCGATCAACAACTTCTTAAAGTGTTCTTTGGCCTTCATCTACCCTTTTGACCGGGTTTAAAGTTTTCTGCTCCACTCTCCTCACAAGTACCTCCTATGGTCTTCTTTATACATGTGCAAATCATCTCAAATATTCAACAAGTGCAATGCCCACTTTTTCTCATATGCATTCATTTCAGATTTTATCTTTACATGTATGTCTGCACATTCATTTAAACATTCTCATCTCTACTACTCCAACTTTATACTCTAATTGTTTCATTAAAGCCCAACACTCACTACCTTACAATATTGCTGATCTTATAGCAGTTCAATAAAACTTCTCTTTATGTTTATTAAGTACCTTACAATCATAGAAAACTCCTTTAGCCTATCTCCAATTTAACCAGCCAGCTTGTATCCTATGTGCAATATCTCCATCAATTTTCCCATTATGTTGAATAATAGCTCCCAACTATTTAAACTGTTTCATCTGAGGCACAATGTGATCACCTAATTTCACTTTCAAATTACTACTCACTAACCTCTTATTAAAATTACAATATAAATATTCCATCTTACACCTACTCAAACGGAAACCTTTTGATTCCAATGTCCTCCTCCATAACTCAAGTTTACGGTTAATCTCTTCCCTTGTTTCCACAATAAGAACACAAAAATAATCCCACCTCTAACCAAAACCAGCAAAGCAAAGATCAAAATGAGTCAAGGGTGGATGAACAATGATCAGTAGCTTCAATCTAGCCATAAGACTGAGATTGTGGTACAATAGTTAAAGGTGCTGCCCTCAATGTTCCTAAGCAAAGCCAAAACTCTAGACCAAATCAAGGTGCTCCTGTGGCAATGCTAAATACAATCAAGGTTCCGTCATCCTTAGCAGCCAATCTGTAGATCAGCCACCCTTTCAACTAAATGTGAAAAATCATTTCCTAAATGGTGACTTGGAGAAGGATGTGCATTTAAAAATTCGTCCACGCTTGAATACCTTGGGAAGCAGTTTTGTAGACTATACAAATAACTATATGGCATGAAGGAATCACTATGGACTTGGTTCAAAAGCTTTAACAAAGCAATAAAGGCATTGGGTTATTCAATGTCCAACCAATTGTATTCTCATTTGTGAGACACAAAATGGTAAGATGGCAATTGTAATAATTTATGTCCATGATATAATATTGACTAACGATGACTTTGATGAGTTATAGAGATTAGAAAGAAAATTACTATGGGCTTGGTTTCAAAAGCTTCAACAAGGCAATAAAGGCATTGGGTTATTCAATGTCCAACCAATCATATTCTCATTTGTGAGACATGGAAATGGCAAGATGGCAATCGCAATAATTTATGTCGATGATATAATATTGAATAATGTTGACTTTGATGAGTTATGGAGATTAGAAAGAGCTCAACTAAATTGGATGTGAAAAACTTGAGAAACCTTCGATACCCTGGAATTTAAGTGGCTATAGCCAGAAAGGATAATATATTCCGTCAAAGGAAATAGACCTTACATCTTCTGAAGGAGATAGAAATGCTGCTAAACCTTCAACAAATTCCATGGAGACTAACACAAAAGCAAGATGAAATTCCAGTTGATATAGAAAGGTACTAAAAGCTAGCAGGTTAACTTAACTATTTATCACACACCAAGTACTTTTAGTGATAGGAAGATCTAGAGGTGTAGAAATTTTATAGATGCTGATTGGGCAGAATCCCATGTTGAAAGAAAATCAACCGCATCTTTGTCTGAGGCAACCCCATTACTTGGCAAAGTAACAAGTCAAAAGTGGCCAGAAGTAGCGTGGAAGCCAAGTACAATGCATTATCTTCGGGGACATGTGAAGGAATGTGGATCATAAGGTTAATATATAAGTTGAAACTTGATTCTCAACCCCTAATAGAGGTGTGGTGTGATAATACAACCACAATAGAAATTCTCAAAAATAATGTTCATCATGGGAGAACCAAGCAAGTGGAGATAGATGAATTCATTGAGAAAAAGATTGAAAAAGGAATCATTGATCTATATTCTCTCATGTATCTCTTCACACTCTTAAGTTGTGAATTTACTCATAAAAGCTCTCTCACAGACCAAATTGAAGATCTCAATGGCAAACTGGAAATGCTTGACATCTATTCTCCAGCTTGAGGGGGAGTGTTGAAAACAGTGCGCTTATCTCAACCCAAAAAGCATCAGATCTAACCATTAATTATTTGTGTATATTTCTGAATCATTGACTTTTGTATTCCTGCTGATCTCTCTAGGATCTAATTCGACAGCAGATTCATTGCTCTGTATCAACCCTAAACAAGTGAATAATATACAGGAACTTTGAGAACTCTTCAATCTAATGCCCTTGTTCTTTTTTATAGCCAGTATTTGCCATAATAAAATAAGGCTATAATTTCCAAATGACATAGTGGTCAAGATATTAACATGTTAAGCCTGTAAATGAAATCACTGACAAAGACAACCTCAAGGCTTATACAAGCAACGAAGTTATCAAATCTCTTTGCATATCAATGATTCCCAAAAATAGCTATTATCGAAGCACTAAAGACATACAGAAAGCTCCATCCTATTGCATAACAAATACAATGACGGAGAAATCCCCTTGCACCACCCACATGATTAAATAATTATATTATAGTAAACAGATAAGGCTAGATGAACCTACAAGCTAAAGCGGCTAATAAACTCAAATGATCTTGAAATGTATTAAGTTTTTCACTTGTTATATGAAAGTAATACCTTCCACAAAATAAAAGATTATCACTCAATATATGTACATATAGTCAAATACACAGCGTGTGTGTTTCGCATTGTCTTACCATCACTTACAAAACCATAATATGAGACTGTCAATCCAAAGTGAATAATTCCAGTCTGAATCCATTCAACAGCAAAAACATCAGTAGCAGTGAGCCCCCCCTGAACCAAGCAAAGGAACTGGATGTGAGGATAGTCAGTCATTAACCATTTATGGCTTTGGCTTATATCAGAAATCTGCAATACATTCCTCTTTGGGCTATAGCATCGATTCTGCACAATACTATGATCCAGAAAAACATTTAAAGGATAATTCAAGAATGATGCATTCACTCCCGACGACAAAGCTCGAAACTTGAAAAGAAGAACAATGATGATTTCAAAGGTAGGTGATTCAAAGTTGGCACCTCACTACTTCTTACATCTGATTCCCCACTAAAGCACCTAGCAGAGTCTACTTATCAATACCAAAGTAAATTAATCTAATATGATGAAATGCAGTAAAACATTCAATAATCTTCAGAACTGCAACCAATATAAGGTTTTGATATCAAATGATAAGTTCTGTCACTGCCCTAAGAACAAACAAGATGACAATAAACAGAGAAATATTGATGAAGTCCAGAACATGAATATGAAATTCAGGTTGACAACATCTTGAGTCAAAATGAAGCATTGCACAATAACCATAGTATTTGATCAAATTACAAACCCACCAATTCTCTAAACTGAAAAATGTTAGTGTGTCTAAACATGGATGCATGCATGCATGTTACCTTAACAATTGCCATTGCTGCAGAAACTGGATCTCTGACACCAAGAACAGTCCATACAAGTGAATTATCAGAACCAGCAGGGACAATTCCAATTGGTATAGATATTCCTTCCTTTTGATTATCTCTACTAAGAAGACCATTTAAAACCTGTATACAAAGAACGATTATAGAGGTTTCTGGGTGCATATTGCATGCGCACACATCACAACATATTCATAAAATGATGGAAATATCGAAATGAGGACAAGAATTTAGCAAAAGGTAAAGATAGAAACTGCACGGAAAAATTTCGTACAAGTTGCAGCAGGCCCCTCTCCTCTTATAATCATAAAATTTAATGATAAAGATTGACTCCAAGATAAACTCTACAATGATATGGCTTAAATTGTAAGCCTCCTAAACAATAATTAACTAAAGACTCAAGGACACTCTTCACGAAGCTGAAGCTTTCAACTTATATGAGTAAAATCCAATTAAAGAGAAAATCAATAGCTCAAATTTAAGATTCAAATGTTAAAATTGGGTAAAGTGAAAACTAGTCAGCACACCCCCCATACAGACATAACCCTATAAAAAAAAAACATCACTACCAAAACTAGGTAAAGTGATTATTAGAGCCCTAACATCATCCATAACGGAAAGAACAGCTAAAACAGAGGACGGCTGCAAAAAGAACACCTCTACTTTGATTCATAGCAGGCAAAGCAGCTGCAAAAAGAACACTTCCATTTGAAAAAAAATAGCAAGTATTTTTATAATAAATGTGTTTCCCTTTGTTCCTTTCGAAATATCATAGCTGATAACAGCAATAAGCCACTGCAACAGTCTCCCTTCCTATCATACATCTTAACGTACAGTATGACCGTAACTTCTCTAGCAGGTGAAGTTAAAAATTTTATGATCAGCTGCCAAACCATGGACCATCAACTTTGCTAGTGAGCTCCCTAATAAGAATATTCTATTGTCAATGGGAGAACAAGATTTAAATCAGAACTAAATTAAATTCGAATGACGTCGTTGGACTAATATCAGTGATTTCTATCATTCAAATTCAAACACTTCGGTGAAATAATTCGGCTACAGATATATTGTGAAGACGTAATTACTCCATGCATCCACTTCATGTGAGTAACCACAATGCACAAAGTGAATACTGTTAATATATCCTAGTCACTTATGGCATGATACAGTCAAAGACAAGAAAAAGGCTGTTGGGAGAGAAAACAAAAACATAAAGGCAAAACTTTTACTAAAGAAACAAAGGACCACACCAGTGAATCATTAAAAATTTATGAGACCATTAAACTATTAATATATATATATAGTTCCATTAAACAAAGTACGGAAAAAACAAGAGGTTCATTAAAATAACATGGCACCAACCTCATTGATTATCCCATCTCCACCTACACATATAATTCCTGAAATGGATACCAATTTGAAAAATAGAAGATATATGAGAAAATACTCAAGATGTAATAAGCATATCAAGTAAATTAAAGTTTTGAAATGTAATTTTAGTCCTTTTACCATCAGGACAAGAGCTGATGTCGACACTTGATGCAAGCTTTTTAGCATGACCAGCAGATGTAGTTTTGACTACCTCCAATCGAAACCCTGCAAGCTGTCACGGCACATGCCTCAGGTATAAATATGGTGACATGCACAACATTGAAACTTTTTCTGCATTCTATTTGTAGTCATATGAAATGATGGCACTGAAGTTGCTTGAAAGCTCAGGTATGCATTTCAACATGTTTTTTAAAGTATGATTTATCTGTAATTCTTTGGAACAGGTTCTGTCTTCATTTTACAGACTTTGAAGAAGAAGAAAATTACTTGTTCAAAATGCTTTTTCCAAGGGTGTGGTTGATGTTAGGAGAGGAAGAGGGAGGAGTGAAGAATGAGAGGATGGCAGTGCGTGACAGCTAATATGACTCAATTATAATCCAAACAATGAGGTCTACAATGAAAACAACTCCAGGGCTATTTATAAAGTCCTAAATACAATAACTAAAATAGTAATGATAACTAAACCACAAATAAAATAACATAAAAGAAAAAATAATGTTTAAAATTAAAATAAAAGAATTACTAAAACATGTAATAAATTAAAATATAATCTCTTGCGCCTAGAGAAACATTTTCCTAATTTCTTATCAATGGTGTTTAAGATTAAAACATAATGTAAGATTTTTCACTAAGAAATTTCCTTTCAGCCCTTGATTTTGGAATAGAGTTGTGTTTTTGGCTTCTTGTAGGTGTTGACACATAGTTTACACAATTTTGGGGGCAGGGAAGTTCCCTAGCAGGATCTATAGGAAATGGAGATCGATTTGAGCTGATGTGCATTTTTTTGTCCCATCTCCCTTCTCCTTTAGTTGCTTTTGAAGGATTTGTTATCCTCCTCTATTGTGATTCCACTCTATATTGTCACAAATTCTTTTATCAAAAGAGAAATTCAAGCAAAAAGATTCACCCATAGCAATACAATCAAGTAATCTGTTGACATTTGGCAGAAAACAAACCATAATAATCAAAATGTCAGTGTAATTATTGTTTTTCCAAGATGCATCACAAATATGCAAAACAATCCTAGCCATATATATCTATCTATATATCTTTCTTTATTTCAATGTGTCATCAAATATATGTAACATAACAAAATGAGCACAAGAACAAACATATATAACTTAAATAATTTGGGACAATCTGAAAGAGGAACATACCTTAAATATTGGTTCAACAATGTCATGGAAAACTTTACTTGAACGACCTCGACCTGAGCGAGGGTTTAATATCACAAGCATCTTAGGTGGACTTTTACATCTAAAAAGCAATTCAGGAGGTGTATCAGTAGGAAGTAATTCTGCAGATGCTTGCTTCTTCGTGGACGACAAAGGATGAGGTAGACAATTCACAAAACACTGTTGATCAGCAAAGCCACCAACCCATTGAACTGCTTCTTCTACAGTAGATGCCACAAAACGGAAATCCTTCCTAATTCTTCGAGATTTAACAAAACACAAAAAGCCGCATGGAGCCTTTTTCAATGGGTATGAGTGAACAGTGAAGTGCCTGAGACCAATATTATAAGAAACCTGTTTAGAACATGGACTAAAATTAATTAGTCTTTTCATATGACCATAAAAGAGATTAGTACAGATGTCTTTAATCATCCATTGACATGGAAGCAACATATTACCGAAATGACATCATCAAGTTGCAGCACATTAGATCCCCAGGCCAAAACTTTGCTAGTTAGTTTGGCATCTACAGCTTCTTGACTAGCAATATCAGAAGACGTCTGTTGAGCATTACTGTTGCTATCCAGAGAAGGCTTTCTCTTATCCAAAACTAACTTTCCAGAGAACACCACATATCCCAACAAATCAGTCTTCTCATCTCCGCCTCCTCCAATATCAATCCTATGCTCAAAATTGTTTGTTGTTTCCTGATCATCAGCACGAGTAGTAGTGGGGGCACTTACCTCACTGCTCCTCCTGGAAGCCTTCACTTTACCACGTTTTTCAGGGAACACAATAGGAGATGAGTGCTGAACCCCTGTTGCTATCTGGGAACACAATCCCAAGCGTCTAAGAGATTGTTGAGGCGTCAGAACCCTTAATGAAGATGCCTTATTGATTGTATTATTACTACCGCCAGTAGAATTTCGGGAAAGATTCCCACTCTTCGGCATATCTCTTATACTATCAACCTTACAAACAAGGAAGGGACAGATAGAGAACCTGACACAAGCAACCACATGATGCAGTGGCTGAGCCACCTTCCGTTCAAGAGGGGCAAATTCCCCCTCAGTGCTATCCAGAAATAGGTGCGAAAAGATGAAACGACGAAGAAGAAGATGCAAGATGGGGTTTATTGTCAACAAAGGTCTGTATAAGCAAGATGCTGGAGAAATGAATTCCGCAACAGGCCAAATTTCACAACCCAGTTCAACAACTCTGTTTACAACTCTCTCAGATCGCAAATGAATGACGAGATCTATGAACACGCTGCAAATTCGTTCAAATTTCAATCACAAGTATTCTGAAAGAAAATGGTCAATGATGAGGATTCAGTTTTAATCAGCTCGCTCTCGCTCGTTTTCGATGCCATAGACATATCACAAAAATCTACAAAAAATTTAGGCCAAATGAAACCAGGACGAATCTGCAATTTGAAAAGAAAGAAGATGAAAGGATCAAACCTGTGATCGATGGGTCACACAGAGGAAGAATCCGCAAGTCGCCTCACGAATCTAAGTCGGCGACAACAGCTGTATAACTTTCAACTGTAATGGACGCCGAAGACCTCCTTCAGCGTGACCGGACTTACCACTTTCTTAGCCATCATTTTGATTTTTCTTATTTTTGAGCTTACTTCTGTGTCACACAAGCACTTTTTTTATGTGGAGTAAGACATCATTATTATTTATTTATGAATTAAAGTTGAAATGGATAATGGTTACTTCAATTTTTTTTTAAATTATTTCTAACAAACCAATCAAAACTAGAGTAAGTTAAGTAAAATGATAAAATTATTTTAAAAATAATTTATTTTTTAATTTTGCCTCTATTTTTTAAAAAAGAAGTAATTTTATAGGTGGGTAGATCTTTTTTTTTTTAGAAGCGAAATATTCTATTTCTTTTTATAATTGTATTATTAAAATTGTGCATCAAAAGTTACAAAGAGGAAGAGAAAGTGCCTTATACAAATAATCAAGAAAACTTTGTAAAACGTAATTAATAAATAAGATTGGAAGGAATATTTTTTGATAATAAAAATTAGTTTAGTTTTAAGGAATTTTTCATTGAAAAATATTTTAGTTAGAATTTTTTATATGTTTTTTTATTCATAAAAAGGCAATTTATTCCCCTCCCAAAAAAAAGAAAACGATTAGAGTTCAAACAACGGTAAAGAATTTTTTATGTAATGGGCTGTTGACTATTGTTTAATTTCAACTTAAAATACTTGTTTTAATCAAACTGATTCAACTTTATTCTGATTTTTAATTTAATTTTGACATTGTTATTCAATCATTGTAATTTTAAATATTTGTTTAAGTGATTTCAAAAGATTAATAATTTTAATTGTGAAAACCCACTTTTCGAATAATAATAATCACAAATTAAGAGACAAAGGTGTGTACAAAAAAAAATAGTTCATTACTATTATTAGAGAAAATGTAATATTTGTTGTTAAAATTTTTCTTCTCACAATTATCTACATCACGTTTGGTTCAATTACACATTTTGATAAAAATGAAATGCAATGAAATGTTGATCATGATGACTTTGTTTGGTAACATATTTAAAAAGTTACAGCAAAACATATTTTTTATAAGGAGAATCACGATTGAGGACCTCCTAAGGATATTAATTCCAGTTAGGGATCTTGAAAAATAGAAATCCCAATTAAAGATCATGGTCTTTAAGTGTGATAAAAAACAAATTTGAGTTTACAAAACTGCCCCCTCACTAAACATTGAAAGGTAACAGGAAAGAAGCTCATCTTGTGTGCTCTGTTTTCTTGTTTTTCGGCGAGAAAAATACTGATAGAGTGTACTCTCGTGCGCTGAAAATGTTAGGGAAAAATTAATGGAGCATAACCGTCTTCTAATAGGTAATTGTATGCATTGCTTCTTTTACATTTCGTCCTCTACCATGCATGGAAGAGAAGTCTGCATCTTCTTCTTCCATTTCTCTTCCATTGCTCTGTTTTCTTTTTTTATACATGTCCTCTGTCATGCACGCACAAAAAGAATGTTTTAATCTTTGCAAATGATGTCTTGCACCATTTCTCTTTGTTTTATACCTAGGAAAAAAAATAGTCTTCTTAATGATTACTAGACTTTATATATAGACATGCGGAAGAAATGATTTTCGAGAACAACACAGTTGAAAAAGTTGAGGAGTGAAAAACAAGAAAAATGTAACATGGATGCTGAATTTTTGTGATCTGTGTTGAAAAGTGTGTGAATGTTGAAAAATGTAATATGGATGCTGAATTTATGTAGTCAAGGTTGGGATTATGGAATGGACAGTTGTGAAGTACTAAATTTGTATGTTGTTGTAGTTGTTCTAGGTTTATTTCCCATATGGCAAGTACTTCAGCAAAAGAAGTATTTTATTATCTTCATGTTGATGGACATTTTGTAAAAGATTTACAAGGGAAGATGACCTATGAAGGTGGGAGATTAATTTCTAAATTGATTAGAGAAGGCATAAATCATGAAGAGCTATTGAGGATGGTGTCATCAGTGACAGGAGTTGAAAGTGGTGCAGCTGACTTGAAATTTACAGTAAAGTTTGGTGAAAACACATACATAGATTTGTTAGACGATGAGGGAGTACAACATTTGATAAAGTATAATAATGAGTCAGCACATGTGTATGTTGAGACAAATGATAATGAAATAAATGGAGCAATGGATAACTTGATGGAGTAAGTTGTTATTCTTAGTTATTTGTGTGTTTAATTAGTTTAATGACCATTTATATTGACCTGTAAGTAATTGTAAATGTAGGATGGAGAATTTGTTAACATGGTCACTGCTAGGATTTCCCTGTAGGCAAGAGCTTGAAAGTATATCACCCTCTTTGCCATGTTCAACACAAAATGCTCTTGCATCATTGCCTGAGATTAATTCGGTAAAATGGAAGATTTATTTATGGGTGTTGGCCAGACATTTGATGATGCAATTGTATTCAGAAAAGCATTATATAAATACAGCCTTGCTCATAGGTTTGGTTACATATTTGTGAGAAACAGCCTTAAGAAGATGATTGTCAAATGCAATATTGATGGTTGTAAATGGAAGATATCAGCTTATGTTCTTGGGAAGACAACCTCTATATTGTGTGTGAAAAAATTCCACAATGAACACATGCACTCTGCTCAAGACAACCTCCTATTAAAGTAAAATGCTAACTCAAGATTGACATCATCAATCATCATTGATGCTGTGAGGGGGAATGTGGAAAAAACTTCAAATGAGATTAGACAAGACGTCTACAAAGAGTATGGGTTAAATCTCACATATCGGCAAGCTTTGAGGGGAAAAGATAGAGCATTGGAGGAAATACATGGGCTTCCATAACAGTCATACATGTTAATTCCATGGCTTTGTGAGAAATTGAAGGAGACGAACCTAGACACAGTTGCAAAGTGGGTTGCCTCAACAAATTATAGATTTGATAGACTTTTTATTGCATATGGATGCTATATTAAAGGGTTTCTCCAAAGGGCTCGTCCAATTTTGTTTATCGATGGAAGTCATTTAAGCGATCCATATAAGAGGACTTTGCTAGCAGCTTCTACAATTGATGCAAATATTGACTTATTTCCTTTGGCTTATGCAATAGTGGGTGGAGAAACATATGATAATTGGGCTTGGTTTCTTGAAAATGTGAGAGAGATCACACACCAAGTTCAATTGACCTTAGTGTCAAACAAGCATAATGCTATTGTTGGTACAATGCGTGCAATATTTGATGGCAATCGACATGCTTTTTATTATCATCATGTCAAAGAAAATTACAGCTCAGAATTTACAAAAATTAATAGAGGCATGCGAAGGATTAATGGGATGACCAAGGAAGATGTACTTAAATTGTTGGATAATATTGTATATGCAAGGTTGGAAACAAAATTTCATGTTGCTATGGGTCATTTGATGGTCTTCTCCCTACAGTTGGCAAGATGGTTAAAAACAAATGGGGACATAGATCGTTGGGCATTAGCAAGATTTCCATACAAAAGATGGGACAATATAACATCAAACCATGTTGAATCTTTCAATGCTTGGTTAGTGAAAGAGAGAAAACATCACATATGTGCGTTGATAAATGAGCATCGAGCAAAACTAATGAGGAAGCTATACAATAGCAAGATAGAAATGGCGAATTGGTTAAACAGAGTTGGACCACGTGTTGAGGCAAAATTGAGGGAGAATGTATTGAGAGCTGAAGTTATGGTGGCTGAACATTATAGTGTGAATATGATACTAGTGAAGGTAGGAAACAATGACTTGAGAGTGAATCTAACATTGCGAGAATGCTCTTGTTAAGAATGGCAAATGGTAGGAATTCCTTGTGCACATGCATGTGCAGCAATAAAATTAGTTCAGGGTAATGTGTATTCATATGTTGAAGAATGCTACACTATTTATGCACAAGAAAAAATTTACAGCTCCACAATGATTCCGGTGGAAACCATTGACATGCCTCAATTGACCGAGCTACATTATGAAGATTATGAAAAGAATACCTTTTTGAAACCACAACTGACTACACGTCCCCCAGGGCGACCACCTACCAAGCGAAGAGAGTCATAGTTTCAGAATAAAAAAGTGTATCATTGCTCAAGATGTAAT